GATCCCCTGTCCAAGCCTGACACCTCTGGCGGAGGCATCAGGCCTGGGCAAGGGGCCGATCCAGCGATTGGAGAGGGTGATGGGGGTCAACGCCTGAGGGCTCCCAGTATGTGAGAGGGGGCAGGCTGGGCAGAGGGACACTCCCCCCCCCCACACACACACCCAGTGCATGAATTTCGTGCACTGGGTCCCTAGTATGAAATAAAAAGCCAACTTATAACAAAATGATAGTAAAAATTCTGGGAACAATTGAATAATGAACACTACATCACACTTTAGGAACATAAAGGGGAAACCACAGCTTTAAATAGTAATATTGGGCAAAAAGAGCATCAAATATACATTTTAGGAGTTGGAAAAAAATTGGAAACTAATATATTTCCTGCCAACTACAAAAAAAAAAACAGTTTTTAACACATTGCTGATGGATCACGAGAATTCTTGCTTCATATTACACAGTGTTTTACAAAGTATCATACTTGAAAGAGATTAGCTTGTAAGAACATGTAATAACTTCAAAATGCAATGGGTATTTAATTTTAAAGTGCGCCTTTAACATTTATGTAGAACGTTTTTTGTACTTGTTCAGTAGAAACTTACCTGGCCACTGGGTGAAGCCAGTGATAAGACTACTGGTCCGCAGTGTGTTAAGTTAGAAAAAGGACAATAAACCCATGAAGAGTGGAAAGAAGGAGAAAATGAGGAGTAAACATCAAATAGAAACTAAGAACAAAAGGGGGTTCCACAAAGCCTAACTGTGAAGTAGATAAAAACTCCAATGAGAGGAACCAAGCAAAAAGGAGAGAAGGCACAAACCATGGCCCAAGCCACTGGGTGCATGTGGGAGGCACCCTATCGATGTTTCTCCCCTCCTCCTCCCTCGCTTCCACGCTCTCTAAAAATCAATGGAAAAAGTATCCTCTGGTGAGGATTTTTTTTAAAAAAAAGTGGCACAGACTAGACCAGCTGAAATTAAATAATTCTGTGAACATTCATACCAATAAACTTGAAAACTGAGTGAACTGGGAAACAGATTTCTAGGAACATATAATGTGCTAGGAGTGCCTCGAGAAGAAATAGCCTGCATCTTCAGTAACAGATACATTGAGCATTAATTTTAACCTGCGTTCAGCACTTGGTTTAACAGGTGAATTCTTCTAAACTTTCAAAGGCTATCATTCCAATATATAAAAATATGTAATCGGTTGTGTCCAAACTGGATTTATTAAGTAAACCAAGAGTGATTTAGCATTAGAAAAAGGTACAAATGTCATTTGTCACAATAGATTCAAGGAAGAAAAATGTGTTACTAGAATAGATGGAGAAAGAAGCATTTGACAACATTCCACACCCATTTGTGATAAAAACCAAACTAGAAATAGAATGAGCTTTTTTGCCTGATGAAAGGCATCTATAAAAACTCTACACAAATATTCTCCATGGGAAACTGGAAAAGCATTTCCTTTAAAACCAGGAACAAGACAGAAAACGCCTCTGTGGCTGCTGGCACTCAGCACTACTGGAGTTCTAGCGAGGACAACGTATGGAAGTAAAAAATCAAAGGCTTGGGAAGGAATAAAATTGTCACTATTCACAGATACTGTTGTCTGCACAAAAGCTCAAAAAATCTACAGGGAATAAGTAGAAACAAGATTTGGCTGTAAGATCAGTTTAAAATCAAATGCATTTCTATACATCATCAATGAATGGTTTAGAAAACAATTTTAAAAAATAACCCAGCATTTACAGTAGCAAAAAACTTGAGGTACCAAGGAATAAATCTGATGAAAAAATTTAAAAGGCCTATATACAGAAAATCATAAAACTTAGTGAACAAACAACAAAGACCTAAATAGATTCCTATAATATAAAGATTTATTTAAAATAATTCAATTCTCCCTGGATTGATCTGTAGATCAACAATTTCATTAAAATACCAAGTTTTCGTGGTACTTGACAAGCTAATTATAGAAAGGCATGAAAAAGCCAGCACAGGCTTATGGAAAGTTAATATGGTCAGGGGGTGGGACTTGCCCCCCAGCATCTTCAGTTTATTATAAAGCCTATAGTGATGATTAAGGTGGGAAGAGTCTGAGTAAGGATGGACAGACTAACAAGTGGGATAATCAAAAGACCCTGCATTTATGGACCTGTGATGCATGACGGGTGACATTTCAGACCAATGGGACTATTTAGAAAACTGTCCAATAACAGCTTATAAGTCCATAAAGGGGAAGAACTGAAATTGGAACCCTGCCCCACGTTAGTCACAAAAACCCATTCCACTTGGGTTAAGGACTTAAATGTGAAAAGGAAGCTGCTTAAAATTGTAGAAGAATTTTGGTGTCTTGTTTTCCTTAAAGCAGGGGTGGGGAATGTCTGGCCCATGGGCCGTAGAAGGCCTGCAAAATCATTTTGTCTGGCCCTGCTAAGGCAGTAGGGATGAGTTAACAGTCTGACCAAACATAACAGGCTACTTTTAAAGATAATTTAAATCCTGAGGTCGTTAGGACTTTTTGAACACCTAATAAAGAATGCACTACCAAAGAAACAACACGTGACTACGTTAATTTTATTATCTTGTGTTCATTAAAAGACAAAACAAAACAACTACAGTGGGTCCTTGACTTACGAGTGTCCCGACTAACGAGTTTTTTGAGATACCAGCTGTCTGCCTATTTTTTGCATTGAGTTGACAGAGTAATTTGAGTTAACGGGCTTCTTAATGAGCTCGGTCGGAATGAATTAAACTCGTAAGTCAAGGCCCCACTGTATTTCAGAAGAGAAAGCAGGGGAGTTCTGGGTGCTGTTGTGCACATTCGATGTCTTGCCAGCTGATGAGCTGCAATGTCCCCATCCTTACCTTTAAGGAAGGGGGGAGCCTTTCTCAGCCAAGGGCCATTTGGATATTTATAACATCCACGGGCCGTATAAAATTATCTTTAAAAGTAGCCTGTTATATTTGGTCAATTAACTCACCCCTAATGCCTTGGCAGGGCCAGACCAAATGATTTTGGAGGCCTTATACGGCCCATGGGCCGGACATTCCCCATCCCTGCTTTAAGGAAAACAAGACACCAAACTTTTAGTCCAGCCATAGCTGGACCCCCACCCCCCACTTACCCCACAACCCCAAGTACTGGTTCACCTACCACCTCACAGTTTGAAGAGTCTACAAAGCCCCTTTCTCCACTTGAGGTGACAGGCGGAGATGGCAATTTATTTTATTTATTTTTAAATGTCTGAAGTAGGAAAACAAGGCTGCCCAGCTCGTGTCAGCCCCGACAATAATCCTCAAGGGTTGATCTTGGCCTCCAGCCCTGGCTGAGGGGGAAAGAACCCCCTGCTGGCCCATGGAAAAGAGGCCCTGAGGATGGCAATGTAAATAAACTTGGCTTCCCAGGGGCTGAGAGGCAAGTCCGCCAGCAGGGCCCAGAGTGCATCTGGCATTGGTACCGGC